GGAGAAGACGCTTGGAGCGCGGCGGCAGCAGTGGCTGCTGCTGCAGGGATAGCTGGGCAACTCCCCCCTCCGGCCAGGCAGAACACCACTCCCAAACCTAGTGGTATCCCGAAGGCGGCAAGCAATGTGAGCCCCTTTCTCCCCCCCGCTCCTGCGGCTTGGCGCCTTCAGGAAACCGCTATGTTGGCGAGCAGTGCTCTACCTGGCCGGAGGCGGGGGAGAGGTGTTTGTCCAGAGGGTTTATTTTCAGGGGTGGGCTTATATTTTTGCCCACGCGAAAAATGTGGCCAGGCTTTAGTTTCAGGACAGGTTGTATTTTCGGGGAAACACGGTATTTACTTGCATTTATATGCTTTCGAACTGCTAGGTGGGCAGATGCTGGAGAATTAACAGAAACCCACCCCGTTGTGTGGTACTCAAATCTTGAACCCAGGCTGTCAGCTTTCCAGTTGACAAGCTCAGTATTTTTAACCACTGAGCCATTACGTTCCCCCATGATACATATCCATTTAAAAAAAAATGATTTTGAAGCTAATGCTTACTTTAGGATTGAACGACATAAATTAAAACTGTGGGATATTTTTGGGATTTGTGTCATTACTATATATGTAGTTCCTTTTGAAAATACTTATTTCTTTAGCTCAGAAGTCAGCAATGCTGTGCCCATAAATACAGGTCTGTTCTTATACACATCTTCAGCCTTCAGGTGACCCAACTTACTCTGTTTATAAGTAAAAGAAAATCATTGCAATGGATTTGTTTCAAAGTGCAACTATGATTTCTAGTCATAGTTGCACTTTGCTATCGTAAGATGCCATAGCCATCTTAAGTTTGCACAGTGTGTTTGGGAGTAGAGTGGAACTCGCCAAAGCTTTAGAAGCATCAGGGAAAAAATTGTGCTGGAAGCAGGGTGCAGTTTAGGAAAAGATTGCAGTGAACTAAGGAAACATAGGTAGGCGGAGAAGAGTAATATTTCACACAGGTAGACTATTTGGTTGAGAAATAAAGAAACCATTCTTAAAAACCATAACATATTCTTATTGTATCAGCCAACTGCATGTGAAATAAGTTGCAAATCTTGAGATTTGCTTGAGTAGTTTTGCTGCTGCTTTTGGAAAAATAGATTTAATACTACCTAGCTAATTGTACTAACTAACATATTTGATAGCATAGATAGCATAACTTTTCTCTTCTGTGTATAGTTTGGAGAATAGTTTAAAATTAAAAATCCTGACAATAAGTTACAATAAAAATTATGGGTTCTTTTAAGAAAAAAATGGACAAAATTTCCCTCTTTTAAGATCTAATGTTTTCCATATTTGTGTATGAAATTTTCTATTATGTTGAAACAGCAAAAATGAAGAGTGGAATAGAATAATAATAAATTATAGCGAGTAACAGACCAAATCATGAAAAAATAAGAAAGAAATATGGGTGTATTCAGTGTATGTTCAGAGCGATAAGGGAGCGAGCCCCGGGCTGGCATCCCTGCTTCTTTCCTCCAAGAGCCAGCTTGGGGGACAGCCAGCCTTTCCCGCTGCTACGCTCTTTTCTCACCATCCATGCGAAGCCTCTGCTGGTGGGGTTCCTCCCCACCGGCTGCAACCCAGGGCCCAACTGGTCAACTGGGAAAGTGACGGGTGAGCAGGCAACGGTAAGGGAAGTGGGTCTTGGGAGAGACCTTCCCTCTCCCTCCAGAAGGCCTGTGCGGGGAGAGAGGAGGCTGGCTGATTTGGAGAGAGGAGCAGGCTGGTTTGAATGCGGGCAGGTGGTTTTTGGCTGGTGCGTCCTTCCCTCGTTGGGGCGCTCCCCTTTGCCCTTAGTGGCGGGGGCTGCTTTATTGCACACCTCCTTCCTTACTCAGCTGCTATTGCCGGGGTGCCACCAGGACAAGCGAGGGAAGGAGAGGAGCCTGAGAAAGAATGTGCGCGATTTCACAGGACAAAGGCACTCCCTTTCGCCCTTGGTGGTGGCGGCTGCTTTATCACGCATCTCCTTCCTCAGTTGGCTGCTATCGCCAGGGTGCCGCCAGGGCAAGCAAGGGAAGGAGAGGAGCCGGAGAAAGTAAGGAGGCACACGATAGCACAGGGCAAAGGCGCTTCCCTTCGCCCTTGGTAGCTGGGGCTGCTTTATCATGTGCCTTCTTTCTTTCTTCGATCCCTCTCCTTCCCTCACTTGCCCTCGATAGCAGATAGCATGAGCGATGACAGGTTGGCCACCCCACTCAGTCACATGTCCCCCACCGAACCCGTAGTAAAACATTTTGAAACCCACCCTTGGGCCTTGATCTTTATTACCAGGAATAGAAAATTAATATAATACCTGGTGTTAAAACTTTAAGACTGTAAAAGTATTTCTGCTAATTTCTAATCCTAATGTATTGTGGAAAAATCATTTCTGGTTTTTCCAGTCATTGTTGTGAAACTAATACATTTGGCTTAATTTCATATGTTTTTCTGTCTACTTCAAGTTTGTTTGCGTTCACTTATTTTGCTTCTGAAAACAGTCTGTTTTTCCCCTATATGATTTAGTACAGGCTTTATCATGAGAAACATTAAAATGTCACTCCGGTTAAACAATTTTAAATTAAGATAAACAGACCAAATTTACAGACAAACCAAGACTATTGGCTATTTTACATATTGTTTATGAAGTTTTGAATTATTTTGCATCAAATAAACTGCTGCAGGAAGAAATTCTGTCTGAGAAGTGGATTTGTGTGGGGTGAATGTGAGAAAATGTGCACCAAGAAAAAAGAGGAAGAGGAAGTAAATCGAAGAAAAATAAGCTAGTGACATGGAGAAGATGTCAGGTTCCAGAGTTCACTTTCCATTACCTTTCTATCTCAGCCTTTATTCAACTTTGATTCTTGGATGGATCACTCATTAGACTTAGTGTTCACTTTGGATCAGATGGTGCAAGATCTGAAAATGAGAAATAATATCATTGATCCCTTGCCATAAGTGTCAAATTGCACATTATTTTCATTCCTGACTTGGCTTATCCTGGGCCTCTGATGGATTCCAGCTAATTGGCCAATTCTTCTGTTAGATACAATTCTTACTGCTTTTCTGCAGAACAATTTTAAAAAGGCTAAATTATCAGGTATTGCCAAGTGATTATTAGTTTTTGTGTTTAATTGCTGACACAGGATTTCTGTTTATTTTATTGATGCTTGGTATAGCTGAATATAAGTTGGTCTATATAATTTCTAATTGTATAACTTGTTTGTACTCTTGTTTGGATATCTTTTTTAAGAATACTTTTTTGGGATCATCTGAATTATTCAAGCAATCCTTCAAAAGAAAAGAACACTGCAAGATGCTTTTGTCTTAGTTGTTCTTTTAAAAATTTTAAATGATAAAAAATTACATAATAAAAAATACAATAATAATACTTAACATAAAATAAGGTAGGTTTTTTTTGGTTTTGTTATGCCATTAATATGAATTACTTTTAATTTTTAAAATTATACATTTAAATGTGGAATATAAGTTGAACATGGCAGCATTTCTCTAACCCAATATTTCCTTTTACTACAAATATAAATGTTCATTTTATTTATTTGTATACAACTTTCTCATTATTACAAGAATTTATGAAACTATGGAGATATATCTTGGAACTTCAGGACACAATAACATGTCTTTTCCTACAAAAGTTCTCTATAGTACAGAGTTTTAAAACTCAGTTGAAGTGTTTGGGTTCGAACAACAACCTCTGCTGCATTGGATTTTTTAAAATAAATTCTAGTAATTCCTAATTATTTTATTTATTTAATTCTAATAAAATGAGCAAGCAAAACATACAATAGAATGGGATGTAAAAAGCAAACAATAAAATTCAAGAATGTTAAAAAGTTGTATTACTTGATGTTTGTCTTTATATTGTTTGTGTTTTCTTAATCTTAGCCATAATCCTTTATGATCTATCAGATGAAATGACAATATTAGACATTTACACTTATTTATTTAAATAATGAAAAAGCTTCTATCCCGTTTTATTACAAAATGTCAAGCAATGTGACTTTGTTCATTGTCAGGTGAGCTGTGTAACCTCATAACGCTGGATGTAGCCCACAATCAGCTTGAACATCTTCCAAAGGAGATTGGCAATTGCACACAGATCACCAAACTTGATCTACAGCACAATGAACTTTTGGACCTTCCAGACACTATAGGTAAGTAAAAATATCAGTAATTCATTTATTTATATTCTCCCTTTATTTTTACAACTCAAGGCATACTTCTTCCTTTTCCTATTTTCTAACAACAACCCTGAGTTGGTTTAGGCTAAGAAAGCGACTGAAAATTACACAGTGGATTTCTATGCCTTGAGATAGACTAGAACTCACCATTGCCTGGTTTCTAGATCAATATTGTAACTACACCAAACTGGCTCTTTTCTAGATTTAAAATTTAAATAAACAAATTAACAATTCATATATGCCTATAATTATGTAAATGAGCAATTTGATCATAGGTGTCTTGTTGATCATTTGCAATAAGTTAATTTAAAATTTAGTTATTATTGTAGACATGCATGGATTTGCATTGTAAGATCCATTTAAAATATTGCAGTTTTCATATATGAAAAAGCAGTTAATGTAGGAAAATCTATAAATTATATAGTAAGGTGTAGTGATTGCAAAATAGGATTGGAAAATACTATCAGCCTCAATTCTCAATTTCTGGATATTTTTCTGTACTTAAAATATTTTCATTTCATTTTCATATGAGGTTGATAGAGTATTTTTGTTTTTTTGAGGAAACAATAATATGCACATTTATATAAAATATTGCCAAATAGATTCATTTCTTGCCAATGGTGAGGAATGGAGAATTTATATCTCAGTATTTTCAAACTAATGAATACAAAACAATTCATTGTTTTTGTTTGAAGTTTGGCCTGGACATAGATGTTTTTAGCAGCTATGTATACGAATTGTAATATCAGAAGCCATGCAGGGTTAGTTTTAGTATTCAAAGAAGGTTTCTAGGAATTAGGCGTTTCGGCAGAAGTAAGACCTGGAAAAACATTCCCAAAAGTGGTTGAAGGCAAAACAGCATCAAGAAAACATGTAGTTCAGTCACAAGGAGTTGAGCCTGATTCCAAATTATACTTACCTCGAATCTTTAAGTAAAAAAAAAAAAAAATGACAAAAGAGCTCTTTATTTCAGAACAAATCCAGGCCAAATAGAAAAGAGATACCTCTTAAACCACTTGAGCAAAATGTTGCTTTGGCCTCATTGTTATTTTAGTACCTAGTCTCTTTCTGAATTACTAATGTTATGGTAGGTAGCCAAATACAATTTTTAATTTTGTATGAACAATTCCTTGTCTTCAGTAGTAGCTTAGCTTGTTTGTTATGACTATCCTGCCAATATCAGGATTTTCTGGTTTTTCTCCCCTCCCCCCTAAATCCTAAAACAATACAGAGGATAGATAGGTCACAGGTATTTTCCCTTTAAATAATACTTTGCCTGTGTATTCCTAGAAAATAACTACCAGATACTAATGGACACATCCCTCAGGCTGAGAATGATATGAAAAAATATTTTCAGCAACATGATGAGATTTGGAAACCAGTTGACAAGGATTTACATTTCTTTCTCAGCAGCAAACATTTATAGTAATAGCAAGAATGCTTCAGGCTCTGATTCTCAAAGTATCCATAATATGACAAACAAGACCAGACTGGACAGATTGTTGCTGAGTCTATAAAAATAGAAGTGGCTATTTTTTGTGTTTGAAGAGCTATTTAATGTGAAAAATTGTTATGATTGTATATAAAGATAGATAAGCAATATGTACAGGTAGTCCTCGAGTTAACAACAGTTCATTTAGTGACTTTTCAAAGTTACAACAGCACTGACAAAAGTGACTTAACAGATCATCTGTTGCAACCTTCTGACAAGCAAAGTCAATGGGGAAGCCAGATCCACTTAAGAACCAGGTTATTAATTTAACAGCTACACTGATTCACCTCACTAACTGTGGCAAGAAAGGTTGTAAAATGGGACGAAACTCACTTAACAAATGTCTCACTTAACAACCAAAATGTTGGGCTCAATTGTGGCTGTAAGTCGAGGGCTACCTGTATTGCTTGCTATATTTTAACGAACAATAAGCCATTTCGCAGCCTTAGTGAAGTTGTCACAGATAGTATGTAGTAAACATAAGGCAATGAGAAGCAAGTAGCATGAAAAGTCATTTAGGCACCCTCTCTTTTTTCAATATAGAAGGATTGTTTTATTGGTTAGAATTGTTAAATTCAGATATACCCAAAGTTAGGATTTGGGTATATAAGTTAGGGTGATATTACTCACTTTTTAAAGTATTATTTCTCTGGTGTTTTGTTTTGCTTGTTTTGTTCTATAGTTTATCATTTCCTCCTTTCATTCTGAACAAGAATCAATTTATTTTTGTATTTATAAAAAATATATAGATCCCATATTCATTCCCATGTATTGCAAATATAATAGTTGATACAGTTAATATGGTAATAGTAATAAAATTACTTGATATTTTATGTAAATGATTTCGAAATTGTAATATTACTTGTATTTTTAAACATGTCTCTCTTCTTTGAGGTAGAAACTTTTCCTTGGTGATGGCTTCTTTGTAATTATGTTAAGACTTTAGTGAAGGAAAGGTTAATTTTCATGAACAGAAAAGCATATGCTTCCAGGAAAGTGAGATGTCCAACTCAAAAAGTGATTTTACTTATGTATTTTTTTTTTAAAAAAAAACAGCCTAAAAACTGATGCTCTCTGATTGGTTTATAATGAAACACACTAAAAATGCAATCTGAATGAAATAATTTAAAATAAAATAAAAACACATAAAACATACAGTATTTTTCAGAGTATAAGATGCAGCAAGATTTTGAAGAGACAATTTTTTTAAAAAAAATTGCACTCTGCAGCCTCCCAAAAGCGACCCTTTTGTCAGAAAAGGGTATGCATAGCCTTTAGGAGGATGATAGAGTGCTCTGGAGGGGGGGGGGAAAGCCATTTTTCACTCATTTTTGCCCTCCCCAGCCCCAGCAGCACTCTGGAAGCCTCCTAAAGGCTATGCATGGCCATTTTTGCAAACGGGGGTGTGATTTTGGGAGGCCAAAAATGCTGTATTCAGTAAATCTGACACACTCAGATTTTCAGCCTCTTTTTTGAGGGAAAAGGGTGTGTCTTATATTCTGAAAAATACGATAACTGGGAAGATTCCTTGGATATATCTCCTGAAGAATGGAGCCTCACAAAATGACTGTCCATTGGCTTACTTTGAACAAGAATATACTACATGGAGTAGATGATCTTGCCCAAGAACTAAGCCTTCTTCTTGCTCTCATTTTTCACCATTTATATATAACTTTCAAATATGTACTTTCAACTATACTATATTTCTCTTTAAAAAAAAATTATTTCTCACATTCATACATTTGTCACAAATAGCAATGATTACAAAAATCTGATCTGTATATCCTCTCCATAGAATAAGGCTTCAATGAATTTTCCAAATTGTTGCTTGTTGTTAGGTCTCATAGATTTTTGGTGAGAATTTTACAAAATACCTTCCTTAGCACATACAAGACTAATTTGTCTGTAAGTTTTCTGTTCTGTTATTATCTTTTTCTTTGTATAAGAGAACAGTGATTATATTCTTCTCATTCCAGGCATAGGAGAAGGCTTTACAATCCTGTTAAACAAGCATCACAACCACATACCACATTCATATTTTAACATTTTGCCAGGTAGCCCATCTATAGCTGTAACGTTAGCATTTTTCAGGGTTTTAGCAGCATTTCTAACTTTCTTTTTCTAAAGGACAGTAACTTTGATTTTGTTTTATTTTGATTCCACTCTGCAAATCATCCATTTATGCAAATCTCTACAATACTCTTTCCAGCATTTCCTCATATCAGTGTAACCCCAAGTCATCTCATAATTTTTATTTGTCATTCCATTCATTCTAGTGGAGCCTTCTCATTTGGCTGTTTTCCTCCATTTATGAAGCTTTTTAAACTCCCATCAAACTTTCTCAGTATTGTTGTGCCTTTTAAAATTGTTCCTTGTTCTTTGACTACATTCTTTGCACTTATCTTTTTCTCTGTATACATAAGCATAGAATATCTTTCATCATACATTTGCAACAGTTTTTTTTTACATGGAGTTATCTGTTCCTGTGGCTGTTCTTTTTTAGTCTTGTTTCTTTCACTTTTCTTTGTCTGAATCTATCCTTCATACAGAAATTAACATCACTCTTGTATTTTCCACTGAATCTTTTCATCAAGTGTGTTTATCAGTCCACTAGATCTGAACATTGTTGATTATATCCTCCTTTTTTTAAATTGTCAAGCTAAGACATAACTGCATTTCTTTCAATACAGATTAATTAATTAATTCAATCATGCATGCATAAATTCATTCATTTTAGCATTTACTTCCCTTACATTCTAAATAGGTTTCCCATATATTTATGGGCCCATAAATATTGATCATTGTTGTCATCATTGTTTGGTGAATTGAATCATTCAAAGTTAGTAAAATAACTCTGTAAAAGAAGGAAAACTTTCTATACTTGCTTTAATTTTTAATTTTAATTTACTACCCATACTTTGTGAAGCATTCCCTGTTAACAGAAAGGGTAAGATAAGTTAGTTCAGGAATAAACAATATAACAAAATGTTGATTTAGCAGACCTTCTCATGCACTGCACCAGGTTATGGCATTTGGGTGATTATTTCATTGTACAAATAATTAAAAGGATACCATTTGAATATTGTATTTAACAGATGTAAGTTGCTGCAATGATGGCTTCATATTTAGTGCACATTTATGAACAACAAACCATTCCTCCCCATTAGTCTGTTAAAATTAAGTTCCACTGTATACATGTATATGTGGTTTAGTTCATTTGTATTTTAGACTTTTATCTGTGATCTTGGCAGACAATACAGTCATAAATAGTCAAAATAGGCAAGGTGTGTTCAATGTGTCATGAACATCCTTTTGTTAAGATTCTGGGTGTATTTTTTCTTTGCTTGTCCTTTCTCCAACCCCCAGTGGGGGGGGGGGATTTACCGATATATATTCTGTTTAATTCTGAAATTACCTCGAAGGACAGATCTGTGCTTTAGTGCAGCTTTTATCTGCAGACATATTTTAAAGTTAAAGTTGTGCTATGAACTGGCAGGTCTAATTTTTTTTTCCTAATTTTAGCTGTGCTTCCAGAATTTACCATTTTTTTAGGTAGTGTGTCTAAATGTACCTGGCATTAGTACACTTTTTAAAACCGATTAATACCTTGAGTTTTTATTACCTGAGTCACATGAGTGAAACTAAGGTTTTTGTACATAAAATAGTTTACTTTGACAGTGTTTCCCCAGGAGTTATTATTGTACGAAATGATATCTATACACTCAGAAGAAATTTTCTGTGTATGCAAAAATTTTCAGGAGACAATGGAAGATCTTTTATTAATTAGCTTTTGGTATGAAGTTCACTTGTAAGGTTTTTAGTCTCACTGCTTTTGAAAGCTATTAATGTTGCCCCTCCTCTCATAAGGAAATGCTTATCTTGTAATCTGAAAATGTGTAAATTGCTCTAAAGTATTGTGGTGATGACAGCCAGTAATGATTAAAAAGAAACAAAGCATTTAGATTTACGCATTTAAACTATTGCTGGGAAGCCAGAAATGAAAGCAAAGCACAATGGTGGAAAATTATCTTTACTAATGGAATATTGTTGAAATACTGATGAGTTGTTAGAGTTGTATAGCAATAGCAATAGCAGTAGACTTATATACCGCTTCATAGGCCTTTCAGGCCTCTCTAAGCGGTTTACAGAGAGTCAGCATATTGCCCCCAACAACAATCTGGGTCCTCATTTTACCCACCTCGGAAGGATGGAAGGCTGAGTCAACCCTGAGCCGGTGAGATTTGAACCGCTGACCTGCTGATCTAGCAGTAGCCTGCAGTGCTGCATTTAACCACTGCGCCACCTTGGCTCTTTATATTTATATGTTGGAAAATTATCCTAGTGCTCAAGATGTTAATATATTTGTGTGAAAAGTGTATGCCTTTTCCAATAAACAGTAATAAAAGAAAAAGAGGGACTTATCCTTACCCAAGAATAAATACAGCTAGTAGGAGTTTCTAAACATAACATTCTTAAATATTTTGTTTTGTTTTCAGGAAATCTATCTACTTTGAAAAGCCTTGGTCTGAGATATAACCGTCTCTCAGCAATACCCAGGACTCTAGCACAGTGCAGTAAACTTGATGAATTAAATTTGGAAAATAACATTATTTCTACTTTGCCAGAGGTAAGACACTTGAGAAGTAGGAGTTCCTGTAATAAAAATAAATTATTCAATTTGAGTAAAGTAAATATGGAAAGATTCTTCATCATAAATTTTATAATACTAAATTAAGGTCTGAGACATAATTTGCTTATTTATTTTATTAATAAAATGAATACTTGATTCTGTTCGGGCTTCATTATGTTAGTTTAATCTTGAAAAGTAAACAGGAGCGCGTGAGAAAGAAAGAAGCTTTTGATTTATTTAACATTGCCAAAAGACACTGAATGTTTGAGATATAAAGAGTTATACTACTTAAGGTTTCTATGTTAGGAAGATAGGTATTTTCTGAATGTGGTAAATGAAACAAAATCAAATTTACAAAAATTTTCAAATTTAGTAGACATTATAATCATCTTCATGAGTTGACCTCGACTTCATGCAGATTTCTTGACAATGTACAAATTGCATTAAAAACATTAAAAAGGCAATATTAAATGCTTGTTAAAATAAATCAAGATAATCAGCAAATACTTCCAAATTATAAACCAAGATTTGGAATATTATTATTCCAAATTAGGTTTTGGAATATTATTATTACAAATAATACAGCTTTATTCTGGAGATTGGACATGTCCCCATCATCTTCACTTCAAAGCACTACTCATATTAATTTTTTTTTTAAAAATACATCAATAAAAATAATAATTATATATAAAACAAGAATTGACTAGGTTATTCTGCAAATGCATTAGGAACTCTGTGTTGTTGACCCTAGATATAATTTTTTGTTTCTTAGTTACAAACATATGATTCTTTGAATAGAACTGATAATTGTTCAGTTGTGGGTATTCAGTTGCACAGAATCAGAAAGTACAGATATGTGAATTTACTTATTTGCATTCAATTTCCACAAAAAATAATGTGAAGGGGAAGAAATCTGACATGACAATTGTAAAGTTACTTACACATCTATATAATGCAAATAAATATGGATTAACATTTCAGTTTAAAGTGATATATAATGTTGATATGAATGATTGGAATTGGCATTGAATAAGAAATGATCTAGAAATAAGGCACTGAAATCCATCAAATATAATATAAATTATTAATACTAAAACTGATTGGGAATGAATAAATATTGCTTGTAGACTTTGCTAATGGGATAAAGTTGCTTAGTAATTAATGTCCCCTCCCAAGAACATTATGGAAGTTACTTAAGTGTATGTAATTAAACATACAAAAGAAACTGACTGGAAATCAGATTGCTTTATAAATGGGCTCCCAGTCTAAAACACTCTTAACAAATAGAATTTTGCATTTTTAAGTGCTGATCTGTATATAATTTATAACTGTCGCTGAAAAGAGCCACTTATTAGTGAAGTAGTGTAATCCATTAAAGCATATCACTTTGGCTGCAGAAGAAAGAAAATGCATTTCTAAAGAAAACTGCAGAATTGCAAAAAACACTAAGTTTTTAATGATGAAATGCCCACCGAGTAAACATGTCTTAAAACATTAGCTGGAAAAAGTGGTTGTCCAACTCTATTCATAAATTGTTTATATTGGAATTCTTTTAACAAAAATACATTCATCGAAATACTTGTGCATTTCAAAATGGTATGATAGCCTTGAGCTAGTTTTGGGAAACATTCAAGATCTTCTGAAAAGTCAGCTAAGCAAGGTAGTTTTGTAGTTTTGGAATGAATAGCTGGATAGCCTACCCTGCATTTGGAGTGAATAATATTTTCTCCTTAAACATGACATAAATAAATGATATGTGTTTCATATGCTTAATATCTCTGCACCCTTTATAGTTATACATTTTAAAATTCAAGCAAGGATAATCTGTTTTCCTTGGCTAAAGGTTTACATCTTCCCTAGTAGCCTCAGATTTCTTAGAACTGGAACAAGAATCCCGTGACAATTAAAAAGAGTGGCATGTTTTTCTGTCACCTCTTCCTTTTTTATATGGGACATTGAAGCTTAATTTTTTCCCCTGGAGAATGACTTAATTAATTTTTGTTTCATAAAACTTTACCTGTCTGCAAGGGGGGAAAGTAAACTCTGTCAGAGATTGAGTTGTCTTAAATGCTTAACAAATGGCTAACATATGGTATGACTTGTCAGAAATGCAAACATTACAGTTATTAAAAGTATTTTCAAAAGCAGACAGCATCATTCTTAAAGACATTTCTTTTTGAACAGATCGTGATAGCTAGGCTGCATATAAGAGAAAAGTAACTATTCACGTACAAGGAGATTAGAGTACATAAAGTATATAATTTGATTTGTTCACTTTGCTCTCGCAGGGTCTCTTATCCAGTCTTGTGAATCTGACTAGTCTAACTCTGGCAAGGAACTGTTTTCAATCTTACCCTGTGGGTGGCCCTTCACAGTTCTCTACTATCTACGCTCTCAATATGGAACATAACCGCATTAACAAAATTCCTTTTGGAATTTTTTCTAGAGCAAAAGTATTAAGTAAGCTGAACATGAAGGTGAGGCTTTGTTTCAGGAATATGAATTTTCTAGTGTAAAATAAAATATTGTATGAAAGTGCAGCCAAAGAAAATTGTGCCAGATACCATGTATACCTGATATTGTAGGATAACTTTCCTAGGATTGTTTATAAAACTAGTATCAAGGCTTTCTTATGTAGTAACGTAAGTGATAAATGATGTTAAAATTAGGGAGTTGCAAATATACAAGAGTATTTTCCATAAAAGTACAAAGCTTAGATTGCCCTTTTGGAAATGTCTGTTGGTTAAAACTAAAAACAAATAAATTAAACATTAAAGTGGTATTTAGGTTATTTATTAATTAAATCTAGCTAAAAGTTGTTGCAGCACATATTTAATTTAAATTGTTGATGGTTGAAAGTAGAAAAGCTAACAAAGACAAGTTGCAGTTATATGAGTGATAAGACTGCAATTATATTAAACTGGTTCTTTTCTCAGAATCAGTATTGATACTCCTCATGCCTTCTTTTTTGAAGATGTAGAATGCATACTCTCCTTGGCTAAATTGCATTGTGAATGTTTCTTCAAAAAACAACTCCAAACTCTTGTAATGATTATTTCTTTGTGAGAATGTAGTGACATTTATGTTCTTTATCTATTTAACTGAATATCATTTACAATTTATTATCTTTAATTTAAAAAAACAAACAAACCTTAAACTTTATTTATTATGTTATTATGTTAAATTGCAGGACAATCAGCTGACATCACTTCCCCTGGATTTTGGGACATGGACCAGTATGGTGGAACTCAATTTAGCTACAAATCAGCTCAACAAAATTCCCGAGGATGTATCTGGACTTGTTTCTCTTGAGGTGGTAAAAAGTAGAATATAAAAGACCAGCTAAGCAAATTCTAATAAACCTGACCAATCTTGATATATTTATTGATAATTGATAATTAATAATTAAACTAACAAATATACTCTGAAACAACCTAATTTTGGAAGGATTATACCAGATTTGTCTCACATCAGAGTTGTTTTGCTGTTCACATTATGACTTAGTTTTATGTTAGGACAGAGAAGATATAGCTATTATATTATCTTAACCTGCAAGTTCAGTAATCCACCCATCTGTGTGTGTGTGTGTGTGTGTGTGTGTGTGTGTGTATGTGTATGGCCTGGGTTTTTTGGCCGTTTTCAGCCATTTTCAGGCTGTTTTGAATGTTCAGTAGTGATGGATAAATAGAGAGGGAAATTGAGTCAAAGGGCTCAACAAGGTACAATTTCCAGGCACCAGGAAAGATCCAGCAGGATGAGCAGAGACTAACCTCTATCTGGGAGTGGAGATCGACAGCACACACACACCTTTGGACATGCAGATATGCACTACGAGACATAGCCAGCCCAGGTCGAATGCCGAGGAGCCTGGCAGAATTACCTCACGCTATAATAGATATGAACAATGAGGAACGAACTGGGTCAGTTACAAGATCACAGGCAAAACAACAAATGAAGCTGGTTAATATATCAGATGTGCCTGCCAGAACAGAAGAAGAGGGAGGAAGTATGGGAGGAAGCCAGAGAGAATGCTGTTAAATCAACATCAGACAGCTCAGAGTTATCTCCTGGGGAGGACCAGCCTAAGCTATGTTCGATAAGGGAGGAAGGGAATAGGAGAATTCATTAACATGCCTGATGTAGAAACATCAAAGCTAATTACAGGTGGGAGGTGGATGGGCCTATCACATGCGCAATGCCCAAATTGATTAACATTGTATAAAGGCAAGTATCTCTTTAATGGCTTTTACATAAAATAATTTACATTATAAATTTTATAAATAAATAAATAAATAAATAAAATTTATAAATAAATAAATAAATAAATAAATAAAATACACTTTGACAATGTTAGCAGTGGCTAACATATTTTAAAGTTCCGGAGATCACAATGTCTCTTTCTTTTATATATGTGTGTGTGTGTGTGTGTATGTGTGCATGTTTGTGTGCGTGTGTGTGTGTGTGTGTGTGTGTGTGTGTGTGTGTAAATCTGTTGACAGGAATGTAAAAATCTAGACACTTCCATAGATCTTGTATAGTTTCCCAAAAATGTTTTCTTCATTCTTGCCTAATAAAGAATATTTATTTACTTCACAAGTCATATTTGCTGGAGCCAATATGGCATTAAAGTTTAATAGTGAACAGTCTCTAGCTCTTTATTTTTTTAAAAATAGTTAGTTAATTCTGCCATTACTTAATATATAGCTGTCAGTTCATTAAATGTTCTGTTACTTTTATTTTAGGTTCTTGTTTTGTCAAATAATCTTCTAAGAAACCTCCCACATGGCATTGGAAATTTGAGGAAACTGAGAGAATTGGATCTAGAGGAAAATAAGCTGGAATTGTTGCCAAATGAAATAGCATACCTTAGGGAGCTACAGGTAAAATAATTACATGATATAGCATGTTTTGTCCAATTCAAAGTGTATATAAATACCTTCCTGCCTTCTTGATTGATTGATTGATTGATTGATTGATTGATTGATTGCCTTTGTGTCATTTTTTTTTGCCTGGTATCTTTGGCCACTATACCATACTGGATTTCATGTTTTTTTTTTTTAAAGAAAAACTGTCATGTATAAATTAGTTGCCATTTGATGCTGAGCACACTCATGTTATGTTATGTGGGAATGCCTACTGACACATAAGTAAGAGAATTAAGAAAGATGCTCAATTGCTCCCTATTAAATGCATTTACTGTATACATGTAAAAAAAATATTTTTAAAAATAGAATGGCATAAAATGTAATCCCAGACTTTCAGCCTTACAAAAGAAATTAAAGCCTTTCTCTTCATCAGAACTTTTAGCAGGTTTTTCTAATTTATGTTACTTTCATGTTTAGTGCTTTTGTAAACTTAGCTGCTTTGAGTGCCCTATAGTTGAAAAATTGAGAATTTATACTCAGTAATAAAGTAATATATAAAAAATGAGAAAGATTACAGAACATTTGACAGTTCTGGTTCATATGTCATGTTCAATAATATTTTGGAGTAATGCAGCCCCAAGCCATTATTTGTTGACAGTTGGAGAAAAAGGCTGTTGTGTTAATGATAAAAAGATACCTGCTTTTGTTAATTCTTTGGTGGGAGGTATTAATTTTATGATTTATTATATATTCCTTAAACAGAGGCTGATCCTAACAAATAATCAATTGAGCACTCTTCCTAGAGGAATTGGTCACCTTATCAATCTGACACATCTTGGGCTGGGAGAAAACTTTCTTACACAACTTCCTGAAGAAATTGGTAAGATCCATAAATCCATAGGCTAGTATTCTGATATGGTGTTTCTCAACCTCAACAACTTTAAGCTGTGTGGACTTCATCTGTCAGAATTCCCCAGTGAACACTGGGTGATGGTTAGGGAATCCTTAGAATTGAAATCCACAGTTGCTGAAGTTGAGATGTTGCTGAAATATATCAATGTAAATCAGCATCTGGCAGTATTTATTATATTTAAGTTATTTTCCACTCATAAGATCAATCTTTGGAATGTAAGAACTACAAAGGTTGAATTTTAAAGTTCTACCATGCCTGCCAAGCTGTTTATTTCCACTTTGCATATGAGTAGTTTTGCTAACAACTTGCATCATTTGTAGTAGTCTTCAGGGGAAAAAACCCATTGGTGTTGCTAGACTTCTAGTCTCATCATGCATCATCAATTAACAGTCCTTGAAAAATTTTTGCACTTCTCACACAGAATGTGAAATAATCATGATATTTAAGATTCATTTAATATCAGTTCTGGCATTTAGCACAGCTTAATATACTCAAGTTTCCCAAACACAGGCATGATTTTGTTTCATTGCAATGTTTTGAAAATGTAAGTTAGAATTTGCAAGTCTGAAAATTTTTGTCATTTGTCCTAATGTGGTCTATTAAAGTAAGATTTCAAAGTTGGGATGTCAGTAAGGAAAGAAATATACTTTTCTGGCGGAAAGTGGCTTTAGGTTGTTAAAGAAATATAATAAGAGTTCATTGGTATTGTTGCACTGCCCCACTAACTGTGAAACAACTGATCGGCACACTAGGTGTTACAGCTCACATCTGCTGTCAAATGTTTTGCAAATTCCCAAAAATTTAACAATCTCTTCTCATAAGCCAGTATAAGCCAGTTCCAGCACACCATTGGCTTTATCCCTTCTAAATTCATATTAATGTCTCTATTCATGCCAGCATTAAAAACTGCTGTTACTGCAAACTTAGAAATGTGCTTTGAATTCAGTGAACCTGTTTAGATGCAAAGGATGATATGTTTGCTATTCTTGCTAACGGACAGAAGAACAAGCCAGTAATAATTTCTTTGTCACTTATTGTTATTTTATGATTAATATATTTGGTTTCAAAAATTCTCATTATTTTGCAGGTACACTGGAAAATCTGGAAGAACTGTATCTAAATGATAATCCACATCTAAACAGCCTTCCTTTTGAACTGGCTCTTTGCAGCAAATTATCTATAATGAGCATTGAGAACTGTCCGCTCAGTACCCTTCCAGCTCAGATTGTTGCAGGTGGACCTTCCTTTATCATCCAGTTTCTCAAAATGCAAGGACCATATCGAGCCATGGTCTGACTGATAACTTCCCCGATGATGTACAAAATATAAATGGCTTTTGTGGTGTCATTATGTATATAGTATCTAGGCTACATGGTGCCCAGTGTGGATAAAAAATGGATTGTCCCATACACTCTACTAAATGCAAACTGCGCTGTTAGTATTGTGTATGTGTGTATATATAATATAATATATAGATTGTATATTATATTATAAAACATAAATAATATAAAACAGGCAAATTTCAGTCCATACGTATGTGTTCCTGCTCATAGAGGAAACATAGCCATTTAGATTTTTTTCATTATAAATGCTTGTTAAAGTTTTCTTTAGTGAATTTGATGGTTATCTGGATAATTTGGGGTACCAGTTCACTGAAAATAATGTCAATTAACTGCTGATCAATTTAAGGGAAAATATTTTTAAACCAAGCCTTTTCCTGTTGGATAAAAAGCAACTTAGTCACACAAATTATTTTGTCATTCCTTGTGGATCACATTTTGTGACAAAAAAAATATTGGAATTATTTGTATTTTCCTTTATTCTGGAAAGTCCTTTAACTTATTTTAAGTTTTAAAACAAATGGTCTTGTATGTTTACAGTCAGGGTATGTCACTGGATTGGGGTGGGATGGGATTTACTCTGTTTTATTGAATCTACAAGTTGTATTCTTCTGCTGAGGGCTTTTTATTGACTGATTCGTATTATTGCAAAAATATAAGCAATTAGTTAGTGAAAAAAAATAAGTCCAACAGAAGCTTGAGTTCCTTTGAATTCATCAGTTATAAACATATCATACTGAAGAAGCAATTATTTTATGGTTGTCTCATTTAGCATAAGCAACATTTTTCACTTAAAGAAGTGACAAGTTTGTAAAAAAAATATCATGTTCTGTTAAGATTTAGTATTGCGTCAATGATGGATCTGAAACGCAACAAATAATTGTAAGGGTTTTTCCTGGTCTTTGTGCAATTAATGAATGTGTCTTTTTTTGAAACCCTGCAGTATACGTAAAATTTATGGTTGGTTGACAATGTTACTCTGGTTTTATATCTTGCCTTGCCTTGTACATCCTCCCATTATTCTGGAGTGTCTGCGTCAAAGCACAATATCTTCATGCTGTGCTGTTTTGCTGCTGAACTAAATGCACTTTTCCCTGTAAAGATGGGACACTTGCTTCAAAATAATCAGTTCAGTACCATGATTTATTCTTTTAACCTCATCCTATCAATCTCAGTATTAAAGACTGGTGTTTGGAAAAAAAGGACACTTTTTCATTTGTATTTAGAATGTGATTGCTCAGTAGAAAACCATTAAGTGATTGAATAGAAAACATGCGGTTTATTTCAGGGCTGTACAAAGGGCTAATGATGTTGCAGTGATTTTTGCTCCTGCACTTGATTGCTACTGCCATTTCGAATTGGATGCTCACATAGCAATTACATTTGAGATAAATTTATTTTCAGTGTCAATTGATTATGATGGGTTTGCTTAAGGGATACTAGAATTAAAAAGGGGATGTTCTTTAAATTATACATCATAGATGTCATAGAATTTTTTCATCTATGGAAAAAGGTTTTGTATTTTTTATTTTGCTATTAATGTCTATTTGATAGGCACAATCCCGAGATCATTAGATATACTTACTTATCCTTTTGAAATCAACACAATTCACCGAAGGTTTCACTCATAAACACCTATAAGCTTTGAGTAAATATTTCTCAAGATTGTTTTGTAAGAGCCATTGATTTTAGTGGTTGTGGATGTTTCTTTAGATTGAGTAGGCATAACTTATACCTTCATCTGTAACATTAATTTTAGCATTCATTAATTTGATCTATGGCAAGTAAGAAATCTCCAAGAAAGGCAGGTACAGATATAAAACCTTAAGGGCTATTTTAGATGTCAGTGGATTTGCAAAATATTGGGTTGGATCCAGACTAAACACATATCTAGTTGGGCTGATAGAAGCAGGCTTAAAAGGATCTCATCAAGGGAATTGCTGAATTTGACAAGTCTTTGGGATCGTTTGCTAAAAAAGAAGATAATTGATAACAGTGTCGTTCATAAGAGTGTCCTCCTTTGTCTCTCAGATATTGGGAAACTCCATGGAGAAACTCAGACCAGAGGTCAACAGGAAACTAATGTGGAAAAAGGAATCCAATCTTATCAGTTCTATTAAACAGTATAGCTAAATTCATGCCATTGATTTTCCACCACTTATTTTAAAGTAAATATATGAATATATAATTAACCTAGATACTTGTTGATAATGATGTATAGTTGCAGATAACTATAAGTAATCTGTCTGAATACTGAAGTGTTAAAATACAAAGATGCTTATAGTGGTGGTTAAAAGATTAAAATCTACTTTTTGCTGAAGCTGTAAACTTGTTCCATTTTATTTAGTATGTATATATTTAATATGTTGCCCACATGCACTTTTATTTTAGGTGGAAATAATCATCTTCCAATGAATTGCTTTTTTTACTTTTTAAAATCAGAGTTTAGCCATGTGTTAAAATATTGTTCGAGGAAAGATTGAAGATATTTCAGTAAATTTTTACAGAGTTAAAGTAGGATAGTACACTCATAGTAGGCAGGATTCACCTACCACTTAGTGGAATTGTGGCAGATTAAATGTATAATTTAATCTGTAAATATATTGATGTAATTGTTCATGTTGAAAGGCTTACTTGACTATTTTTCTTTAAAAAATCACTTGCATGTTAGAAATTATTTTTACTTGTTCACTGATTTTTTTTAAAAAAAGACTGAAATCAGCTTAAAAAAACCAGTGAAACTGAAAAACCTGCTTCAGCATAGTATAATTGATTAATATCAATCATGTTAGAATATATTGTGAAATATATTCTGATAGTTGGAACAGAAATCATAATACTCCCAATTCCGGCTTTATTTTCCCTTGTTTACTATACAGGTAGTCCTCAATTTACAACCACAATAGGGAATTTGAAAATATGCTGTTAAGCAGTGCAGTTGTTAAGTGAAGCATCACACTACTGCAACCAATTTCTGATCTTTTTCCTGCAGTTGTTAAGCAAATTACTTGTATTCATTAAGCAAGACATCATATGACCATAACTTACAACCTCCATCCAGCTATACCATTGATTTTGGTTGTCATAGACCAGATAGGAAGCTCACAAATGGTGATCACATGATTGCAAGATGCTGAGACTATGGTAAATGTGTGACTGTTGCTAAGCATCTGAATATTGATCATGTAACAGATTCTGCAATGGTCATAAGTGTGATAACTAATCATCACTTTTTCCCTTGTAACTTTGAACAGTCATTAAATGAGTGGTTGTAAAGCAGGGACTACCTGTAGATTTTGTAATAATACTCATCCACCTTTTGGTAAAACATTAGGATGTATTCAATTAAGTCTCTCTGAAAGATTCTGATAGCAGACAATGCATATCTTCCAATAATGAAGATCAGTTCAACTTTTTAAATAAGGTTTGTATATAATAATAAGCTTTATAGCTGGATTTAATTTTTGGTTTTGTAAATCCATCTCAATTAAGAAACAGTAACTTTCTTTTTCCACAAAATACAATTCGAAATTGAACTTGAGTTTAAAGCTCACACTTCCTATGGCTTGCCTTTTTTTTTTTTTTGCAGTTTACCCATTTTTCTGGTTTTTGGAAAGAAATTGACAAAAAGAAATCAACTGGACTCATAAAATAGTGACTATGTTTTGTATCTGTTCAACAACCCCTAATCCAAATAAATCATGGTTCATATTTATGAAAACAGCCATACATTTATTCAGAATGTCTAACTAAATTTCTTAAATATCAGAAAAAATTCTCAAGCCTGTTTCAACAGTTGCTATTAAATTTTAATATTGCAGAGGGAGGTTATTGAATATATGAGAAATGATCATATCAAAAATCTTTAAATATATTAAATCAAAGTTTTGTTTTGGCTTCAATGTCTTCCACATACTGTTCAAAGGTCAAGTACAGCTCTTAGATTAAAATAAGGTTCCACACCTTTCGACACCTATGGAACAAAATGAGTCTCACCTAATTGCATGTAATTGCATAGTTGTCAATATCATATACAGTACTTTGTTGGATGAGTCTTAAGTTGGGCTGCTATAGTAGCTAATAGGATTTTAATGGCAAATAGAACAGAAAGGAAATGTCAATTTCACTTGCACTATTGCAGTAGCCTATTATAATTATAATGTAATAGCTATATTACAATACAATACAATAGCAGAATTAGAAGGGACCTTGGAGGTCTTCTAGCAGGAAACCCTATACCGTTTCAGGTAGATGGCTATCCAACATCT